GAAGTCAGATACTTATAAGAGAAAGAAAGGAGAAGAACTCGATCGTGACCGTCTATTCGAACGGACTAGATTCAAAATAGATCGCCTCGAATCCGGCGCAAGAGGTGTCGATTGGAATCCCTCAGTAATAACCTAGGGAAAAGGGAAAAACAATCATAACCGTTTATCCGGACGGACGAGATTTAATGCAGATCGCCTCGAACCTAGCACGGAAAGCGTCGATTGAAATCTCCTCATGATGACCTAGGGAACCCGAATCAGCCACACGGGATGTCAGAGCAATTAATGAAAGGAAGAGGAAAGGGGGTTGCATACGCCGACGCAAGCTTAAGTCAAAGTACGAACTAACACCTCGTACTCCGTACTTATAAAACGAAGTAAGGAAAAGACTACCCGTTTTATAAATAAGGAGTAGGGGGGAGTAGTTGATACGGGCTAGTTTGACAAGTAACAAATAAGCATAAGCCCATTAGGGTAAGCCCAATATGATAGGCCCACAACGAAGAACCCATGACGACTTAGCTCGGTATTATGAGTGAAGTCGCCATATGGTGCGAACCTCGGGAACCACGTGGGAGTACCTTAACTCGCCAGCCCAATACCAAAACGGGGTAGGGCGAGCCCAGGACAATACAGGCCCAAGATACATGACTTGGGGGAAAGTAGAAACCCTAAAAAAGGAAAGCCTTGAAGGCCAAGCTTTCCTCATCTATAAATAAGAGAATCAACACGCGCACACACATAAGAAGATACACCAATCACTGTTACATTGCATACACGTTTTTTCCTCTATTCCGATCACTGACTTGATCGTCGGAGCTTTCCCGCCGGGAACCCCTCCCGGCGTTGCAGGTATCCTCACCGGAGTACGGACCCAGCTGACTTGAAGAAGAAGGAAGCACTACGGACAAAAACAATATATATATATATATATATATATATATATATATATATATATATATATATATATATATATATATATATATATATATATATATATATATATATATATATATACTAGGATTGAAAGATTCTTTCTCTTCGTTGCTTCTTGTGTGTGTACGTGCTGATTTTCTTTTAATTGTGCGTAAAGTTCGTGTTACTTAAAAAATGACCACAAGTCGAAAGTGCTAAGCTTACTTAAATCTTTGATCACTGTTTAATTGTTAAAAGAATATCCTTATTATTCTTATCAGCAAAAAGTTTCTCATGATTAATTTCTTTTAGCAAACTACTCTTAAAAACTCCCCATTTAAAAGTTGTGCGTTAATAAAATAACATGAAAGCTTTTAGCTATTTAATATAATAGAATAAATTATTTTTTGGTCAAAATAAACTTCTTTGATCATACTTTGTAGAAGTTGGGAGTATTATAATTTATTATTAAAAAGTTTTGGCCCATAAAGTATTGTTTGGTGAAGAAGATGCATTGCATTTAGGCGGAATAATAAATATAAGCCTTCAAAAAATTATAATGAGTTTGGGAAAATGGGACCTAATTGCAAAGTGGAATGAATTACCACTATTAAATACTATTTGTTGATATAATTAGTTTGGAAATAATGTGTTGCAATAATTAGTTTGGGTTTATTTCGGTAAGACAATTTGGTTTCGTATTTTTCACTTTTCAAATTAAACCCATTTTCTATATCTATTTTCACGTATCCAAATAAAATGCAATCGATTTTTTTTTTTTACCGCTAGTCTCTAATGTCTCGAGTCTCCTCTTTCTTGGAATCTTAATCTCCATTTGTGTTTTAATAAGACGAGTTCTATTGTAAATGTACGATCACTATCATTACGTATTTGTACATTTGGTATAATGTACACTTCACCGAATATAACATAGATCTGAGCGACTTGAAGAAAAAGAAAACAAAAAAGGCTTTCTACTTGTTTACCTAGATTTTTAAGGAGGATGAAGCTCCACGATATGCAATAAATTGTGATCACTAATTCGAAGCATAACATTGAAAATCAAAACCTAAGAAAATGCACTACTTATTTGGCACAATGAATCATCAATCACATGGAGAGATTGGACAAATCAAGAACTACTTGTGTGAATATAATCATCAAATTAAAGTAGCTTTTTTTTTTCTCCTTCTCCATTTTCTTTTCTGAATAAAAGTCGCACGAGCGCATGCCTCGAGTCCGTTCTACTCACTTTTATTTGGTTTTGTGACTTTGAACATTTTTCCAAATTATCAAATGCCAAATGTATCAAGAAAAGGGTAAATTACAACTGACCCTTGAGGTAATGTCTATTTACGAAAAATCCCTCATTTTCCATATTTACATCCAGCCCCCTGCAATTTGTAAATTTCTTACATTAACACTCTTTTGTTGGGGTTGGATATAAGAAATTTACAAATTGCAGGGAGGTAGGTGTAGTTTCTCATAAATAAGGGGTCTTTTTGTATTTATATTTACCTCAGAAAGTTGGTTGTAATTTACCCCACACGAAAAATTAAGTTATAATAATTATAAATTTCCAGAATATGTGATCAAATTGTATATATGTTACACTCATGCAAGTGTTGATTTCTTGATTATGTAAAGATGGACATGAATTGAAATAGATTAGAAGAATGAATTTACAATATTTTCGAATTGAAATTGAAATTAATGAGAAGGGTTTAAAACTCATCAAATTAAACCACTTGGAGATTAAATAACTTAAAATGAGAAGTACTAGTGATTTGGTATCCACAGTTAAATGAATTAATACAATAATTAGGTGGTGTTTGCAAAAACTTATTTAAAAACAGAAGTTAGTGATTGTGAGTTAAGTTGGATTTAAGTGTTTATTTCTGTAAGTTGGGGATCTTTGCAAATTAGTTGGAAAATCAACTAAAATAAAACAAAAGCAGGTACATGGATGCTTTTAAAATTATAGCTTAAAACAACTTATTTTAAGAGAAGTAAAAATAAAAGCTTGTTTTGCAAACACCTAACTACAAATTATGTGCAAAAAAAAAACTCATAATCTGTTTTTAAAAGCATTTGCAAACACAACCTTAGTTCAACGGATTTGTTATTACAAATTTAAAATCAGCCCTTCAACTAATTTCTTCTATGCAGATATAATTCAAGGAAATTCATTTATTATAATCTTTAAATTAAACCTCTATGAAGTTCCTGTATGAATAATAGCTCCCAGGCTGGCAAGTTTCTTAATTAGGGCAATCAAATGAACATCTTATAAATGAAAAGGAATAGAAAATATGATTAATTAGCTCAATAATTAATTTCTCCAGCATATATAATTCATATTTAGGTAGCTTCCAATAATTGTTTTCTTGATGGGTCCAATTTTCTTCAATGGTGTTTGATGATTGATGGATTTAACAGGTATCATTAAAACTAGGTTTCAACACTAATTTTTGTCTGAAAATACACATGTAAGCTTATATATGCATTTAGGACAGTGCTTAGAGAGTTTGTGAAGTTGTATAATATATTCGGTCGTTTGGTGCCAAGAGAAGACTAAATAATCTAATGAAACTCAATTATATTATTGAATCTTGAAAGGTCCAACAAAAAACATGCCTACACGGCAAAATAAACCATGATAACATGATATTTGCGAGTCGACCAGACAAGTTATTAGGGATACCTAACATCAAACAAATCTAAATTATTTAGTTAATTATAACTAATCTCATCAACTAAACGAGGCCATAATAGACATACATGCGAATAATAATGCTTCTTGAATCTTTTTTGAGCCCCCGCTGGAAGGAAAGATTACAGTCAATTTTAACGCGGCTTTCCCTATCAATCAAGATCATTATTCGGTGTCAATGGTTGCTCGGGACCGGAAAGGAGTGTTGATATGGTGGAGCGTGGAATCTTTTTCAAGAAGACCATGTGCGGTTGATGGTGAAGCTCATGTGGCCCTTCGTGCGTTAGCTTAAAGCTCAAGGAAAATGATGGCATTCCGTTATAGAAGGAAACTGCAAACGTGTTATCGATGTTGTTACTATTGGCGGATCTTCCTCTTCATCATTCGGAGCTTTTTGTTGAAGAATGCTTGATTTTTTCTCGTTCCTTTATTTCTTGTAATTTTACTTTTGTGAAACGATTTGGGAATCACTTGGCTCGTGTCCTTGCTTCTATGGCATGAATATCATGTAACGAAGGTCCTAACCTTCCCCAATCTTTGCCTACTTATGCATAATGAAATCCAATTTCTTTCTGAAAAAAGAAAATTAGTCGTCCAATTAAGTGGGAACAACGTACTTATTCGATAGTTGAGTCAATGGATATACATGAGCAACAAATTAATCGACCTATTTCTCCTGTCAATTGATGTCCAAAATGTAGACTAAATTAGTCATCTAAATTCTTATTGACAAATAAGGTCGACTAAAATTTTCAAGTTAAAAATATAGTAAATTAGTTGAGCTACTTAGTCAACTATGAATAGTTGGCCACTCCTATAGAATTTAGTCGACTATGATTGGTCTAGTTGACCATTTATGAACGGTGAGATTTAGTTGAAATGAAATGCAGAAATGTTACATACTACATATGTTCCATAATAACTGTCTCTTTAAAAAAAAAAAATGTTTCATATTATTTGTCACTTTAAATTTTCAATACTACATTAAATACATTTTTCTTATTTTAACCTTATTAATGCAACTCTAAACATTAATTCTCTCTCATAAATCATTAAATGATAAATGTTGTTTTAGTCATTTTATGTGATTTTTTTAAAATCGAGCTACATTTATTGAGTTTCTTAATCTTTGTGAAAAGTGACATGAAACACTTATAAATAAACGGATGGAGTATTATGTAAGCCAAAATAAAATGGTCTTTAAAAATAACAACCTTTTGAATTATTTTTTTAAAAACTAAAATCGAATTGAAATAATAATAATAATAATAATAATAATAATAAAATAAATAAATAAATAACCTACCAAATATAAATGAATATAGAAGAAAATCATAAACCTTAGCAAATGGCATTTTCTGCCATCATCACTCTCACTCGTCACTGCCACTCGTCACTTTCCCTTCTTCAAATTCCTAAATTTCACACAGTAGCACCAATTTCCCCCAATTACTTCCATTGTAGAAGACGAATTTCAACAACTATAATAACAATGTCTTCACCTTCACAAACTGCACGAACCGCACCAGAAGAATCCAAGGTCACCGCTCCCTACGGTTCGTGGAAATCCCCAATTACCGCCGACGTTGTTTCCGGCTCAAGTAAACGCCTCGGCGGCTTCGCGGCTGACTCCTTCGGCCGCCTCTACTGGCTGGAATCCCGCCCCAATGAATCTGGGTAATTTCATATTCTGTTTAATTGTTATAGTTCTCATGATCCTTGTTCGAATTTATCGAGTTTCGGTTTGTTGGTTCATGTTTAATTTTTCTGATTTCAGTTGGGATTTTGTATCTATCATTTGTCAGAGCTTATAAAAATCGAAACTTTGTGGTAGTTTTGGGGTAACCAGCCTCAAATTGTCGAATTTGTTTTGGGTGTACTTGGTTATTTTTCTGAGATGAATTAAATCATTGATTAGGTTTCTTATCGAGTTTATAATTTCGTATTCATTGAGGCGTTTACGTGTTTCAGAAGAGGTGTACTGGTAAGACAGGCCGAGGGCGAAAGTGATGAGCCAACTGATATTACGCCGAAAGATTTTGCCGTGAGAACTGTGGCACAAGAATATGGAGGTGGGGCCTTCACCGTTTTAGAGGACGCCGTTGTATTCTCAAATTACAAAGATCAACGACTCTACAAGCAATCAATTTCATCTAGAGGTCAATCTCTCTTTACGATGTTCCTTTCTTTAATAGCACAAACGATCCATTTCGTTAGTATTAGTGTGATGCTTACTCAATTAATTATGTTTCTGAAGTGAAAAGCTTTTTTTTTTTTTATATCATTATAAATCGTCCTAGCAGATTCAGTTCCTCTGCCGCTCACGCCAGATTACAGTGGGCCATTCGTTTGCTACGCTGACGGAGTATTTGATTCTCGATTTAATCGGTACCTGACAGTGAGGGAAGGTAGATTGTGAATTTAGCTTCATCGTTAGTTTATAAAACATCTTTTTTTTTTGAGAAGTTGTTTATATTTTTTTCCTTCGTGGATACTGATTTTTTATTCGTGCATTATGATTGCTTTTCTGATAGATCGTCGTGAAAGTAGTGCAAATCCCACCACAACAATTGTTTCGATTGACCTCTCCAGCACCAACCATATAAAGGGTAAAATTGCATCCCCGTGCTTGTACCTCTGCGAATATTTATTTAGAATAGGTGGAAATTGTATTTTCCTATAATATACTCTAGGGGGTGAGTGTATATTCATTATTTTTTACTATGCAGAACCTGAAATATTAGTTGGAGGCAATGACTTCTATGCTTTTCCTCGGATTGATCACAAAGGAGAACGTGTGGCATGGATTGAATGGGGTCATCCCAATATGCCATGGGATAAATCGGAACTTTGGGTCGGATATATTTCTGAAAACGGGTTGGTAGTCAAAATCTTGATTGTTGCCTTTTCAATGGAATATTATTCTTGCATTGCCATCTATTTTAGATGAAATTTCAATTCCCGGCTGCATAAATGTGACACAATTTTAAACCTACTTTTGTTTCCACAAGTTGTTTACTTTTTTGTAATTTTTGTACTCCGTGGCGTCTGTGCTATGATCACGTGTTTATTAAGTAAGGTATAGGAATTTTTTGTCACATGTAATGGGGTTCAGTATAGAGTTAAAATTTCGATAAATCCTGACTACTTTTTTTTTTCCTTGGTTTAAAATGATTGTCCCAGAAACATAAAAAACCGCATTTGTGTTGCTGGTGGTGATCCATCAATTGTGGAATCACCAAGTGAACCTAAGTGGTCACCTGAAGGTACTGTTCACTTGCTTTATACTTTAATACATTTTGAACGTTTTGTAGCATGGTAAGCTTTTATTGGTGCTTCTCAATGCCAGTAATTAATGTTTGATAAAATATGAAATAATGTATATGTTCTAAACTTCTAATCACAAAGCTAGTTTACAGCCCTTTATTGGTTATTTGTGACATGCAGGTGTCTAAAACGTTATTGCACTTTGCGCCATCAGGCCAATCATTTTTAAAATAATTACTTTCTTTCGAAGCTATTGTTTAAATCTTGAACAATGTTCTTCCGTTTCTTGTGTGTGTTTACTCACGGATCATACTTTTACTTTGATACACAAATAAAATGCTTTTCGTTCAAATGTTATGTCACAGTGGCTTGGAGTTCTTGGTGACATTGTTTTGTTGTTTTTGAATATTTTTTCAGGGGAACTTTTCTTCGTCACTGATAGAAAAAGTGGGTTTTGGAATATCTACAGATGGGTATATATTCATCTTATCATTTGTAGTAGTTGTTCTTTATATATACTTTGACTCTAGATATGTATTAGATTAAAATACTAGTAGAGCACCAGAATTAAGACTCAAGCGATAAAATTGCCGTGGCAGTCAAGATTACTATTTGATAGAAGTCTGCCATGCTCCTGAATTCCATGATTTGATTTGTATTAGAAAAAAAAAAATCAAGTCCGACTCTTGTCATATCGATGCAACTATCTTCTTGATCTAATATTTGTCCTATTTCCTTAGGTGGAATCAACAAATGAAGTACTGCCAGTTTACTCCTTAGATGCCGAGTTCACTACACCGTTATGGGTTTTTGGTCTGAGCTCATTTGACTTTCTTAATAAGAATTCAATTGCTTGCACCTACAGGTAATGTGAATAAAGTAATGCTTAGCAATGACGATTTTTTCATTTTTCTTTTATCTTCTGCCTAAAGATTTATCTAATTTGTGGAAAATATTTGCAGGATGAATGGGAGCTCATATCTTGGAATCATCGATGTTGCGCAGAACAAAATATCGCTACTTGATATTCCTTTCACAGATATAAATAATATAGTAAATTACAACGACTCTAATTTCCGCATTATTTAATCCTTTTTCTTTTTTCTAAAAATGAATATTGAGTTATCTGAAGATACTCCTAATTTATTTCAGACATCCGGGCTTAACTGCTTGTATGTTGAAGGAGCATCTGCAGTTCATCCTTCATCAATAGCTAAGGTGCTTGTTTTTATTAATTTCAAGCTTTTGAAAATGGCAGTTTTGAAATTTTTTGCATTTTGTTTATGTTGGTTATTCTCCTCCGTTTATTGTATTTCAGGTGACTTTAGACGATCAAAGGTCTAAAGCAGTTGATTTCAAGATCATGTGGTCTTCTTCTTCAATAAGTTCATTGTACAGGCCATACATAAGCTCACCAGAACTCATAGAGTTCCCTACAGAAGTCCCGGGGGAAAGGGCATATGCGTACTTTTACCCCCCGACAAATCCTCTATTTCGATCTAGTCCGGAGGAGAAACCTCCATTGCTGTTGAAGAGTCACGGTATACTTATAGTTTTCTTCGTCCATCAAGTATTCTTTGAGTAACTATTTTAATTAATTCCATTATCAGGTGTAATAAAAAAATGTCAAATCTCTAATTATGTCATGAACAGGTGGGCCCACTGCCGAAACTCGTAGTAGTTTGAATTTCAGTATCCAATATTGGACCAGCCGTGGATGGGCTTTTGTGGACGTTAATTATGGCGGGAGCACTGGTATTTATTTTTCGTCTGATTATTGTTTTTGTTGTGTTCTTTTTTCGATTCAGTACAATAATGCTTATTCTAGAGGTTCGATTCTGAAGGTTATGGTCGTAAATATCGAGATAGGCTGCTTGGACAGTGGGGAATTGTTGATGTCAATGATTGCTGCAGCTGCGCCAAGTTTTTGGTAATTTTTTTTTTTTTTTTTTTTTTGTCTTAATTATAAACAATGGGTAAAAGTTAAGGCCGTGAATTTTGTTATTGTGAAATGCAATTTTTTTATTTTAGGTTGACAGTGGAAAAGTCGACGGTGAAAGATTATGCATTACTGGGGGTTCTGCTGGTGGATACACAACTTTAGCTGCACTTGCATTCAGAGACGTATTCAAAGCCGGTGCATCCTTGTATGGAGTGAGTGTTAAATTATCCTTACTAATTTTCATGTCAATATTGTATTATTGTATAATGTTGTTTATTTAAAAAGCTTCTACAGTTGTTGGTTTATTTACATATTTACTGAAGAATTTATATGTATCGACAGGTGGCTGACTTGAAGTCGTTGGCAGCCGACTCTCATAAATTTGAATCGCGCTATATCGACAATCTTGTCGGTAAATATCAAATCAAAATATATATAGCTATAAAACTATATGAATTCTACTGAATCTACTACGGGAATGATTTGAAATAATACAGGAGACGAGAATGAATTCTTTCAGAGATCTCCGATCAATTTTGTAGATAAGTTTTCCTGCCCTATAATTCTCTTTCAAGGATTAGAAGACAAGGTATGCGCTAATCAACCTTTTTATTTATTTTATTTTTTTGTCACCGAAAATACGCATTTGATCATATCCTAATAAAAACGATTTTTTTTCGTCATGTGCTTGTGTTGCAGGTTGTCCTGCCTGATCAAGCACGTAAAATCTACCACGCGTTAAAGGCTAAAGGTCTGCCCGTTGCTCTTGTGGAATACGAAGGAGAACAGCATGGCTTCCGGAAGGTACGCCAGCTGTTCAGTTCCAGTTGTTCATAGATACGTATTAAAAAAAAATCAAAATGCCCAAGAACTATTTTTGCAAATATCAATGTTATCAATTTTTTTTGCTGATTAATAAATTTCTGCACAGGCCGAGAATATCAAGTTCACTCTTGAACAACAGATGGTGTTCTTTGCCCGTTTGGTCGGTAATTTCCAAGTCGCAGATGAAATTAACCCCATGAAAGTCGACAACTTCGACTGACCTACGTTGACTTTTTTTGTTCCCCTCTCAAAGTTGCTGACCCATTTTTTTTTTTTTTTTTTAAATAGAAGTGCTTTCGTAATTTATTTATTTGTTCTTACGGATTTCGAATAGTTTATACCGTTACAACATTTGCGAGCTACTTATAGATTTTGTTCATAATTGAATAAAGGATTTTGTTATTATGTGTTCTCAGTAAAATCTAAAACCAAATCCTTTTAAATTAAACATCAAATCTCTTGTTAACCAATAACTCCACAAAATAAGAAAAAAAAAAAATTGGCTCTGTTTTTTCACCAATATCCATTACAAGAGCAGGATCCATTCTTGAAATGGTGAAACCTGCTCGTATCCCGGAGTACAACTTCATGATCAATAATCCTCGAAATATACGTAAAAGCCGTATGACAATCGCCACACACGCGCAAGTTCTTCGTAATCCTAATCGGTACACCACTCGCCGTAGTCAAAATACCATAAGCAAGAGCCAACTTTTCACTATGCTCAAGCAACAGATCCCCCTTCTCCTCGTCATCCACGTCATGCAGAGCAAAAGCAGTCTCGGGCAAATATCCCATTTTTTTAATCCTATGTATCAAATCGTCGAGAAGATTGTATATATCTTTTGCCATCGGATGAGATTTATCCCCAACGTAAAAAGTCGCTGTACCCTTCTTCCCCTGCACCCAACTACACCCGGGCCTCTTCTTGATCCCCGCCCGCTTCATCAACAACCTCACCCTCGAAACATCCTTCCACCTCCTCGCACTAGCGTATATATTCGATAGAAGCGTGTATAACCCATCGTTCTCGAAATTCAACTCTAATAAACGATTCACCGCGTGCTCCCCTAGCTCAACATTCCCGTGGACCCTACAAGCGCTTAGCAACGCCACCCAAATTATCGGAGTGGGCTCCATTGACATGTCCTTGATGAGATCAACAGCTTCGTCCAAACGCCCCCCACGCCCTAAAAGATCCACCATGCAAGCGTAGTGTTCGATTTCCGGAGCCACTCCGAAATCCTTCTTCATGTTTTGGAAGTAATTGATACCCTCGTCAACCCTGCCCGAGTGGCTACAAGCGTAGAGCACAACCACGAAAGTCACCCCGTCGATTTTTAGACGGGCTTTTCTCATCCCGTCGAAAATCTCGAGCGCCTCCTCGCCACGGCCGTGCAAACCGTACCCCGTCATTATCGAAGTCCAAGAAACGGCGTTTTTCTCGGCCAAACTGTCGAAAACGGCACGCGCAGCGTCCACATCACCCGATTTGGAGTACATGTCGATCAAGCAATTCGAGATGAATACAATAGCATCGTCGTAACGGTTGCGTAATGAGTAAGCGTGGATTTCTCTACCGACTCTGAGGGCACCGATACGCGCGCACGCCACGAGTGCCGAAGATATAGTGAAGCCGTTCGGCATCATTTTGTATTCATCACTCACCATTTGCGAAAGAAGTACCAAGGCATCACTAGCTTCTTCACCGTGTTGGGCGTATCCACCAATCATGACCGTCCACGTCACCACGCTTTTATCCTTGCTCTCGATGGAATCGAACATTGCGCGAGCCTTTACGGTGCTCTTGCACTTTGCGTACATGTCGATCAATCCATTGATCACCATCATCTCATCGCCTGGGTCGTTCCCTTCCAAGTTGAGAAACTGTTTGACCACACAACAATGAGTCTCCTTTCCTTGGTCCAATGCACCATACGCAGCACAACCGGATAAAACCGAGACTAGGGTAACAGCATTGGGTTGTGATCCGGAGACTATCATCTCTCGAAAAACATCGAGTGCCTCGTACCCAAGTCCCCTTTGAGCGTACGCAGCAATCACAGCACTCCATGTCACCACATTTAGTTCGATGCCCTTCTCCCTCATACTCTCGAACAATCCTAAAGCACCGTCGAAATATCCGGTTTGGGAGTAGCCGGTAACCAGTGCATTCCAAGAAACCACATCCTTCACTTCCATTCTATCAAACACATTTTTCGCCTCGTCCATTAATCCACACTTTGCGTACATATCTACTATAGCATTTCCCACAAAAATGTCGTCGAGTAAACCTCTCCTTATTGCGTATGCGTGTATCTCCATCCCACGCCTCCAAGATTTGACAGAAGCACAAGCTGGAAGTACATTCACCAAGCTAACGGCGTCTGCACGTATTGATATATCTCCCGTGGAAACCATCTTTTCGAACATGCGTAAAGCCCTCCTACCCTCGCCGATGTGCACATAAACAGATATAATCGAGTTCCACGAGATAGTATCGAACACCCCTCTCTCGAGCATTTCATCGAACAGCTGCTGCGCTTGATTAGCAGAACCGCACCGGCCATACATAGCGACCGCGGCATTGTCCACAAACACGTTGCAGTTGGTATAACCAGAAACAAGAGCGAGCGCGTGGACCGACGCCCCGGCAAGCAACGAAGAAAGATCGCCGCAGGCTTTGAAAACATAAGGGTAAGTGTAGCCATCCGGCACCCATTCAAGGCGGCGCATTTCGTCGAACAGGTGGAGGGCCGTCCTCTGATTCTGCAGCGAGACGCTCCGCTTGATGAGGGTGTTCCAGTAGAAGACGGCGGAGCGAGAGGGTGCGGCGCGACGGAGGAAGGAGAGAACATCGGAGTCGGTGTCGGAGGAGGGGCAATCGGGGAGTAGTCGGCATTGGTGGGGTACTGTGGAAGAAGAGAAGCGGGGTTTGAGAATGAGCGGCCAAAGAGTGGATTGGCAATGGCGGTGGTGCCTGTACTTTGGCGGGAGAAGCATTCGCCGACTGAACTGCCCTGAGTGTTGGCTGCGTTGTAACTGTAGTCGCCGTACTCAAATGCAAATTTTATAGTTATGTATAATAAACTAAGTTTTGATTAGTTCAAATTTTAATTTGATAGAAGTCCAATTTTGACTAGTGTTTTAAATTGATTATGGGAGGAACAAGGGTATGGATTTGCTTGCTAAAAACACATTGACCACTAATACTCTTTCAAATCAGGATAATGTGTTTTATTTTTCACTATTTCATCCATTTTTGCTGCAATTCTTCAATTTGTTCCACTCCCCGCTATTGCCATCACCGAAATTCTTTCACACACACACGCACACCACACATATAATTACATTCACGCACGATAGTCATTTAAAAAATCAGGTTTACGTTTTTTTTTAATTCACTTTGTTTAGCTACAAGATTTTGAAAAGAGATGATTGTAAATAGATAGGCATTCCATGGTAGATGACCATTAAACAGAACTAAGCTCCGTAGCTAAGCCTCGGTAAACCATACAACTAAGTTCTTTGTATAATACTTGGTCTAAACTTTCTAAGTAAAGCTCTCAAAAATGACCTATACCAAATAACAAAATTACGTCTCATTATGCTGTCTTGGATTGAAGTAAATAAAAACAAAAACAAAAAATTACATTACCTAAAAAAATAAAATTGCAACCAAATTTGATGTATAGGGTTGGAGACGCTCCAAATCAAACATTCTTGCTTATTCATATACTCATATTTTCCAACGTGCTGAATTTATTGCACCATTTTGAAAATTTCTATACAACATATGAAAATAAAAGGAAACTAATAAGTCGAAATAGCAAATAATAAATTAAAAAATAATCTCGAGTAAATATATATATATATATATATAATTAAATATATGCAAGTTATTTGCGGGAAAAGCCAAAGCCGTTGGCCAGCGCGTGGACGGCGGGATTAAACGCCAACCGGCCCAAGATACCCTGCTTGTACGGCAAGAATGTTTTCTTCTTCAGATCTTCCGAAACCGCCCGGTTCATCGTGTAATGTAGTTCGTGGGCCGAAACCGGTCCCCTTCTTCTCGAACCGGGGCTGTCAATCGCTCGGAAGCTTGAATGTCTGAGCGCCGCTGTGTACCTTTTCAAAGGGTCTTTCTCCGCCGCGCGTCCCTCCGACGCGCTGCGGAACAGGAAGAAATCCTTCAGCCGCCATTTCCTTTGGACTTTCACCGACGCTGATAGAGCCGAACAAACATTCGTCGGCGGCGGCGGCGCCGGTGCCGGCGGCTCCTTGATTTCTTCTTCCCATTGATATTGGGTGTGATCTCTGATCGGAGAAAGAGAACGCGCCGCCCTTCGGCTGGAGGATTTCGACGGTTTTACCAACACTCTTTCTCTTCCACGTTGTAGCCCCGCCGCCGCCGTAAAAGGGTCGGCTTCAGTTTTGATCAACATCGCCGCCGCGGGGAGTTGTTGCAGACGCGGCGGAGGCGGCGGCTCATGAAGAGGCTTGATGACGCCGCCGTGGAAGAGCTCATCCGCCGGCGGAAGGGACGCCGTTTCCCATTCCTCGCTCACATCAAAAGCAAAATCAGCATCATCATCACCATCGACTAGTACCGGCGGTGGAACCGCGGCGGAGCCGCCATCGCCACCGCCACTAGCCGCGAAGAAGTCATCAAAATCGCGATAGAAGTGAGAGAGGTGAGAAGGGCTCGCCGGAGCACTGAAATAGTAACTGCCGCCGATCTTGGGCGTAGAAGGCGCGGTGGCGCTGTTGAAATCAAAATCTAAGTTGTTGGGTATTATCATCACCTCCATTTATTTTAAGATTGTTGGGAGAAATATATATCATAGAGATATATATAGGAATGTGTATGTATATATATATATATATATATATATATATATATATATATATATATATATGTTAGGGTTAATGAAAGAAGATATAGAGAGAAGAAGAAATGGAAAGCATGTATGTATTAATATTATTGACTGACAAAGCCGCCTTTTATTACAATTTGTGTTATCATTTTGTCTTTTTGTCCTTACATTTTTTGTTTCTCAATATCAAGTACACATGTCCCACAAATGTCTAACTTTGTTGCTTTGTTTGGTGTAAAACTTTTGGTAAATATCACTTAACCCCTTCTAGTTACAAGTTTTTGCGGATGATTTCCTTGTGTTTGTAATATCAGAAGCACATAATATCTTGTGGTTATAAGTTTTTGCAGATGAGATCCTCTTGAGTTTGTCAGCACATAACCCCCTTGTGGTTTAATGGGGTAGTTCCCGTTAGTTTTTCCGTCAAACTTAACCGTCTGTGTCAAACTTCAAGAGGATCATCTGAAAAAATGAAAGAGAAAATGTAAGTACAAGGATGTCATCAGCAAAAAAAACATACTTTGAAGTTTGACACAAGCGGTTAAGTATGAGTAAACTGAAAACAACTGACGACCGACTCATTTATATATGGATTGGAAATTATTGACCCAGCTATATGGGTCGATTTTCGACTTTCGACCAAGAACAGTAGGTCGAAATGAGTCGGTTGACCGGTAAAACTGACTCATGCCCAATCTTAGATTTGATTGGTAATATCAAAATAGATGATTAACACTATAAATAAAAGTGAAAATTGGAACGAAATTTTCAAACGGTTTCGAGTACCATGCAAGGGTGAGTCCAGCCCATTGCTAAGGTGGACTCAAGTCCTCCCTCAATTACTACTTCTTCCATTATGTTATATCTATATTATGATTTAGCCCACCAATTTTTATTATTTAGTCCACTCAAAATTTAAAATATGTAAAAAATTCTTAATTTTTTTCCACTCCTAATTTATCAAACAAAAAAATTTCCAATTTTTTTTTGGGGCACAGACCCCCAACCCCCTAAATTTTAAGACCACCCAATAGTAATTCATGAACTCGCCACTAGTACCATGTTAATTCCAACATAATTATTTTTTCTCACTCGATGCTTTGTTAATTTAGTTACAACTATTTAATAAACAAATTATTTCGGTAAATTGAGTTTATCAATTGTTAGAAGAAATGCTTGGATATTGTTTAGGAAAATATATTTTCATTTCCTAATTAACATATTGGTCAATGAGTATTTCAATTACAGAAATATATATCCCTATTAAGAAATAAAATACTATAACAATACATTTATAGAACAATATATTTTCACTATTTATGAAAAAACAATTCTGGTTAAATGCTTGTAGTTGAAAAATATTTTCCAAAAATACATCATCAAATGTTTAATTAATTGTCAAATATAATGAAATACATCATTATTTCAGATTAATGGAAAATGACACCAAATGGAACCCTAAATAGTTTTACTTGGAGTAAGAGGCAGCTTTATACATGGATTACGTAATCAGCTTCATCATTAGAAATGGTTGATTTTTTAATGTTATTTTTTTGTTTATTATTATTCAAAAAAAAATTAGGGTAAATTACAAACACCCCCCTGAGGTATGATCAAATTACAAAAACCCCCCTCTTGTTTGGATAATTACATCTACCCCCCTCAACTATGATTTTTTCTTAGACCTCCACCTTTATGGTGCCAAATTCAACATAGTCATCTAGATTCCATGAAATGTGCTCTAGTTTGTACTCTTTTTGTGTAAAAAATACAGTTTCCGATGCACCACAAACTGATATATACAAGCTAAAAATTACATATTATGGTCATCTTGCTTCATAATGTAGAGTTTGAATAGGATAAAACGGGTACAAAAGTGATAATATTCCATATAATCTCGAAGATTCCACTAAATTTGATGAGTTGAGGGGGTGGTTGTAATTATCCAAACAAGAGGGGTGTTTTTGTAATTTGGCCATACCTCAGGGGGTGTTTGTAATTTACCCAAAAAATTATTATGAATATTATAATATTAGTCATTGTTAATGAAATTCTAAAATTACAGCGGTAAAGTCAAGGAATGTATATTATGTCGTTCAACTGCCGACGAGAGCTTTCTAGATGCACACACAAATATACTATATATATAAAACGTGGGAAAAGAAAAAAAGATTAGTTGCATGGGCTGATTAATCAACTGAAATTAATTAGTTTGCAATATTGCAGTAACTAAGAGCATCTCCGATCGGTCTCATCATTTTTTGACCAAATTCCATTTATGGTGGTGAAAAAATGGGTTCATCTCCCACCGATAGCACACCATTTTACTCTTCCACTATTTTTGGTGGAAAAATGGTGTTTTTGGTCTTCAATAGGTTTCACCAAAATTTAGACCAAATATTAAAATAATAATATTTCATCATTTCACCACTACTTATAGAAAATGAGATTTGGTTTTGTCTCCCATGGCATTTCATCATATATGCCCCAAAAATGTAAATCTAATGTTATTCGTAATTTTATAATATTTTATTTCCGAAATATTAATTATAAATCCAATGCTGAGCAATAAATTTTCTTAACTATATAATTTAAAAAGTATGTTATCGTTCTATTAAATGTCTATAAATGTCTCGTCCTGTATTTCATCAATTAAAGTGTGTTTCGTTAATCATTCTATTGTTGCTTATTATATTTTATTAATAGCAATTAGCGTATTAGCTAAGTAAAGAAATGAACTAATAAACATTGATACCAACAAAATATACAAATTAATAGAAAATAAGCATATTTATATTATTAGAATTAATGTTTTGTTAATAATAACAATGTATTTATATTTTAAAAACTAATTTAATAATTAATACCAATGTATTTATGATAAATATGCTAATAAGTTGGTAATCGGGTGCAATTAGTTAACATCGTCATTTTATATGGTACTTAATAAAATGGTGTTAATTACGGCAAATCCTATTTTCACCTCTATATTTGGTAAGAAAAATAGGATTTAGTGGAAAAAATAGGAAAATGGTGGACCGGTGGGAGATGAAAATTCCTTCACCAAAAAATTTGGTGGAAAAATAGGATTTGAGTATTTGGTGATATGGGGGTTGACCACGGTGGGAGGCTAAAATCGAATCTCTATAATTTTAGGTGTAATGGTGATCTAGGAATTTCGGATGAGAGACTAAAAACACCTAAATTAGATGAAAAAATGACGTTATAGCGTCCGGTCAGAGATGCCCTAATATTTTATGGAATTTCCTTTTTCTTCTATATTTTACTAGCATTTTTTTCCCTAACATTTCAAAAGTGAATAAAATGATTAATTTAATGTATGACAAGTGACAACTGTAGTTATAATAACAAATATACTAAAATATTATAATATAATTTATTAGTGATGTTTAAGTTATAGTACGAAACAACATCAATATTCATACAAATCTGATAATACAAACACACTCAATAAAAGATTATATAAATTTAATTATTATAATATGAAATTGATCATTAAATAAAGAAAGCAAAGTAAAAGAAATTAAAAAATGTTAAAAAATGTCATATATAGTTTTTGTTTCATATAATCATATTTTTATTTTCGAACAAATTTAACAAATAATCTTCGTAATTTATAAAACTACTTTTTTTTTAATATTACGTAGTAATATTTATTTTACAAACAAATAGGTTGAGGTGTAACAAAAGAAAATCCAATGTAATACTACTCATATTTTATATAACTTTAGTTTTTTAAATCTTACATAGTAAGATTGATTGTTCAAACCAAATATTTAATTAGAGTTTTTTAGCGTTTTTTTCTTTTATATATAAGATATCAGACTGATTTTTTTTTTTCAATAACTATCTGATACGAGGATCTTACCTAACCTTTTGTTTTTTCTTAATTAAAAATGATTAATTAGATTCATTTGCAAGGTTTGAATTTATTATTCATTTTTAGACTTGTTCACAACTTCTGGAATGGCTTCTAAGCAGTTCATTTAATATAGATACAACTGACTTTTAAAGCTAAATTTTCTTTATAACTATTGAAACCTGGAATTCGACGCAAACTTCTTAATTGCACGTGTTCCATGGGTATTTATTTATTATTTGGTCTTGCAAATGTCACATTTCGTAGTTTGTAAAATACATCGTATAATATTTTACCTTTAATTTACACACAATTATATAAACATACTAACCGTTTAATGTACCGAAATTTGATGTTCGATTTACGACAATTTTATCCTATAAACATCATTAGATCAGTCAAAGACATTATTTTCAGTCAATTACTTTTTTGTTTCAATCAAAAGTTTGTATCATCATGCATAACTAAAAAAAAATATATAGGTAAAAGGTAAAAATAAATAAATAAATATATAATTGGGATGAGTTGCTTGAAATGGAGATTTCAGGATATGATTTGTTTCCAGGTTGTAAAATTGAAGCATGCCTTGTTATCTTGCTAATTGCTCATTGCTAAGACTACATAATTACTCGTAGGGATTTAATTCCACAAGGCATTATGATTCTTGTCTTAAATATCTTTTTGAGGGTAGATTGCAAAAGTTACTCTTGAGTTTTGGTTTATTTAATTGTAAAAATTTCATCTAACTTTCTCAATTTATAAACACTACGGTAGTGATTTGTGAAATCAGTGGCAAAATCGAGTATCACTGAGCGAGTACTTTAAATTTTCTGGTGATTCAGGGGGAGCGTCCAAAAAAAAAAAAAATTCTTTACAAAATCATAAGATAGAAAAAGAAAAAAAAAAAGGACATTTTTTGGATTGATTGAATTTTGGATGGACTAAATAAATAAATAAATATGTAGGTTAAATATAGTAAAAAAAAATTCAATTGAATGTTGACTCGCCTCTGATTCCGAACCACAATTCATAACTTCCTCATACACCTTGTTTCATTTATTATTTTTCTTTGTTCTCTTCAATTAAAATAATTAATTTTATGTTTTGTATAAACCTAATCTATTTAAAATTATAGGAGTACAATACACGGACAATAAAGTATATATGCATATATAGTAATAAGAAAAAAATAAAATTTGAGAAGGGGGCATGACCTCCTTTGGTCCTACGCTGACTTATATACTGTGTAATGTCTAAAATAGACATGACCAAGAATGGTTCGAACCCCACTTTTTTACTATGCGTACGGGTCATTTCGCTTTATATTTCTCCGAACTACGAATCGGTAGTTCAAATTAACGAATAAGCGATAGATTTATTAAGCGGGTTAACCATGTTTCTGGTAATTAAAATTAAAATCATGTAAATTAGAATAAATTTCGGACCATAATCAAAATTGAAACAACCAGATGGGCTTTGGATCTTATGCACCAAATTCAAGTTTACAACTTGGGCCTCCACTACAGCCCATAATGGAACATTATTTTTTCAATGATAGTAGCACAATTTATGAGATTTCCACTTTGTTACCTTTTGTTCATAATAAATATAAGGGTAAATTACAAACACCCCCTGAGGTATGGTCAAATTACAAAAATCCCCCTATTGTTTGGATAATTACATCTACCCCCCTCAACTATGATTTTTTCTTACACCTCCACCCTTAATGTGCCAAATTCAACATAATCATCTAGATTCCGTGGAATGTGCTCTAGTGTGTACTCGTTTTGTGTAAAAATACAGTTTTCGATGCACCACAAACTAATATATACAAGCTAAAAATCACATATTATGATCATCTTGCTTCATAATGTAGAGTTTGAATGAGATAAAACGGGTACACAAGTGATAATATTCCATATAATCTCGAAGATTCCACTAAATTTGAGGAGTTGAGGGGGTGGTTGTAATTATCCAAACAAGAGGGGTGTTTTTATAATTTGACCATACCTCAGGGGGGTGTTTGTAATTTACCCTAAATATAATTAGTTCTTCTCAATATATATGCTCGGACAAATATTATCATTATTCATTCATACCCAAAAAACACAAACAACCATATTAATGTGTGTAGATGAATGGTCGTAGTATGACCGAACGATGTATGAAAGCTTAAATCTTTCGATTACATGCTCATAAGAAACTAACCGGCTAAGAGGGTGTTTGGCTAAGTTTATAAGATGTTAAAAGGAGCTTATAATATATTTTTGAGCTTATAAGCTCTTCCAAAGTATTTGGTAATTTTTTAAAAAAATAAGTTGTTGGAGAGCAAATAAGATCTTTTTAAATAAATACCTCTACCCCCACCTTTTTATTTAAGATCTTATAATGAGTAAAAATATGAAATAAGCTTATTATCCAAACACTCTAAAAATTAATCCTAAAAATAAAATATAACAGCTTATCAGCTCTTAAAACATCTTATGAGACGTAAGAGCTTATCAGATGTTTAAAATAAGCTTAGCCAAACACCCTCTAAGTTGAGATGGAGGTCGCTGGTTAATTGGATAAAGGAAATCAAGGGAGGTGATTTTAATAGTTTCCCAATGAATATATATATATATATATATATATATATATATATATATATATATATATATATATATATATATATATATAGACACACACACTATATGGAGAAATTATACAATAAGCTTGGAATTTAGCCAACTTATATCAAATAAAAATGACCAATCGATTATACAATTCTTTGTTGTATAAGCTTCACATGATGGCAAAAAAAGTGGTTTGTTCTTTGCTTCAAGTAATAGTGATGGTTCATAAGTCAATAGGACAATTATTTAGGACCACTTCACTAGTATATGATTGTAACACAAACTTTTATGTTCTCAAAACATAATTAATTTTACAACCAAGAATACCGACAAGATATTTGTTGAATTTACAGATTTAATTTCGTCCACCCGATTCCAATTCTGATTCCAATTCCTCGTCTTCGCCTCAAAATTGCAATATTTAGAATTTCTAACTTCTTGATTTTTCGCCCCTGGAGAATGTATTATGCTTCATATTGCTTTCGATAGTAAATATTTAATTGATGAACCTTCATCTCTATTTACCAGCAATACATTTTAGCATTTTTTTTTTAAAATTGCAGTATAATTATTATTTAAACGAAGTTATTAACTTGTTGAGATTCTACTAACCTACTGTATACGAGTGCGCGCATTAAATCAAAAATTAAAAAAGAAAAATCGATGTATTTTACACGGTGCAGTATGTACAAAACTTGTAGCCTATAAAATAGCTTAATTCCACACATGTATAGTATAGACTATAGACCAAGTGAACCAAGACATGACAGCTTCATCCAGTATGAATTGTCTCTGCAAATCCTTGAGCAGGTCAATGAAAATCAATTATGAAAAAAAGAATCCAAGAATTTCCAAAAAAATTATAATAATTAATTAATTATTTATAAATAAATTTAAAAAAAAAAAAAAAAAAAAAGGTTTCCTTAACTTACTCTCCTCAATTATTTGCATAAGTCTTTGTCTTTGAGTAACTCTCTAAGCTTTTATTACAGAAAATTCCATCCACATTATTTATTGTCACTTTTGGCTTACAAATTGACAAGAATTCAATAATATGGCAACCAAAGAGTAACCTGTCTCTATTCACACCTAATTTTGCTTTAATGATGGACAATTGGACAAATATTGTTGCTTATCTTTTAGAATGTTCGTTTAACTCGCAAGATAAGTCATGATACTTAAATAATTCTGGTCTATTTAATGTTTTAGTTAGTGCAATAACTTTTCTGGTCGGCCCGGCCCGTGCAAGTATGAGGAAAATGAGTTACTCCCCTTCATAGTTGTTTTTAACATTTGCACAAATCTTAAGAAACTTAATAAATGTTTTGGTTTTATGAAAATTTATATTATAAGACCAAAATGCCTTTGTTTACTAATTAATGCAGATAGAGTGTTGGGAAGTTAATAAGGTTAGAATTGAAAAAGATGTAACTAATGCAGCATTAGACTTCTGAAGTGATATGGGGAAAAAAAATTATTCAAAAAAGATTTACTTACAAGAAGAAAAGAATATATATTACATTTTCTTTTGTTTCAATATATCTATTATATATGTACACCTGGAAAATTGAATTCCAAAATTTGGTACCAAAAAAAAGTATTATATATATTGAGAAGACTAAAAAAAATAATAAAAATTGATCTCTAAACTTTATTCATGTGCGCGAAAAGATATCTGAATCGAAACTCATACGATATTATCTGAAGGGATTGGAGGGTAGGTTCGTCTTTTCGTGTCTCGAGGCATTTCATTGCTTCTTTTCCGAGTTCACACGGCAGTTGAAGGCATATCCAATCGAGCAACGACTCGGTATCCTTAGCAAAGTCTAGAAGATACCAATCGAGCAGCTTTGGTATCGCCATGACTTTTTCGCTTCTTGAAATTCCGATTGCCGCTTGTAAGTACTCTCTTTTAGCCGTTTCTAGCTCATTTTCAACTTGAGATGCAGTGTAGATTCGCACCTTCATTTCGAAAATTGCCCGAAAAAAATAAGTGAATATTTATATTAAAAATCTAAGTTTAATTTGATCGATATAACTTGAAAGTAAAATAAATAAATAGCTTCTTGAGTTATTACTTACAGCAGGGGAAGACCAGCTTCCGCAAGAGAGCGCGAACGTGACCAACGGTTCAGACAAGTCCAATCCGAACATGCCACGTGTCGCCACCTCATCGTTTTTCGCACCTTTTGAGAGAGTCTAGAAAAATAAATAGGATGAAAATTTATTAGTATGCAATCGACCCCAAAAATTGAAGGCAATTTTTTTTTTAATTTTGAACTTACATATTTAGAGTGATAAGGCAGTCGCAATATAAAGTGCTCGATTGTTATTGCATTTAAAATGTGTCCGCCGACATTCACTGTAGCCTAAGGAAAAAAAACAGAGGATAAATTTTCATCAGTTCGATCGTAAATTACTAGACGAAATTTTGGATACAAAAAGTGCTAAAAAAATATTACCTTTTGCATTAGTGAAACGACGAATTCGGGACTTTCGGGAATGCCGTACTCGATAAACGCCGGAGAAAAATCGGTTTATTTTTTCTAATCATTTGTACTCTCATTAAGAAAAATAAA